TTTTGTCATATCATTTATCAACAATTTATGATAAAATTAAAATTATATTTCAAAAAAATTTTAACCCAAATTTAACCCGGGTGACCCGATTTTAAAAGTAAGCGGACATCCGGGTGACAAATTAGGATCCGGTTCGAATCCCTAAGCCGCGGTAACAAACCGGACCGTTCCAACCTATATATAATATATACACTAACAAATTAAATAAAATAAATGTATTTCATTCAAATATTAAGGCCGGCCCCTGGCCGGCCATAACCATGAATATAGTTATAATAATAAATTTTTCATTACATAGTTTCCCTAGTTAGGGGACCTAAGATTTCGCTATTTTATCATATGACCAGGGTAAATTAAGTGAGAATGAGAAGGCTAATTCATATTAATTATACTCTTTTAATTGACTTCATTCCTTTTAAAGTGTCTTTTTGTCTTTACTGTATTTGTGAAGATGGCGCGAAGCAGATGTATTTATATTATACGCGTGATTTACTGACAAATAATGTTGCGGGCGAAACCCTAATCCCATTTGGCAAAGGTCGAAATCTTTCGTTTCGATTTCGATGCCCATCGAAACCTCCGAGTCTTGCCTGGAAACTTTACTGACAAAAAAGATGTTGAAATTGAAATATTTAACTTTATATCTTTGAAACAATAACGATAAGCATGTATGCTTGAAAGGGCTATTGAAGAAGTTTATTCTGGTATGTTCCAATGGTTTTGCTTGACTTACATGCAATGGTTAATCTTGCGCTTTTCTTATCGTTGACAAACACCCTAGTATCTCTAATTACCATCGGTAAATGTGCCGTAATGAGAACAAATTCTTAATAGCGGTTGTTTATTAATTAATATCATATGTATAAGTATGAAAAAGGGAGATGAATATCAGGTTCAGTTCGATCTTGTTTAGATGGTCGAGCTATGTGTTCTGATCCTGTAATTGCTGGATTACGTCTACCTCCCAAAGATGCATTTGTGAAAAGCTTAAGTGTGTTAGATTTAATTTGAACATTCATGACCGAAAACTTTCAAAATCAAGAAAAAGAAATCGTTGGAAAGATGGTTTGTTGTATTGCTGATAAAATACATGATTACGACATTTCAGGTACAGTAAAATTAATCGCCGGAGATGGCGACTATAGATCAGTAATTAGTTTAGCTCTTAAGAGAAGTTGGATTACTGAGAATTGGTTTTGGTCATAATGAATAATATATTTCATTGTGACACTACTTAAATTAATTACCTTTTATTATCAGTACGCATTGAAGTAATGGATGTCAATAATCCATAAAAAAGCAATTGAATTACGAACAATCATAGTACATATTGATGATTATTAAGAATTTTGAGTTTTCCCTTGGCATAATAATACTTTATAGACGAGATACCTTTAACATTCATTTATACTTTACGTTTTTCATATTTCTTGAAAGTTATTAAAACAAAAATTTAAAGCTTTAGGATTTTTTATTAGAAAGAATTATTAATTCAAGTATTATGTTACACAACTACGTTTTTAAACTTTGTACAATACTTTTGGTTAAATATTTTCGACAAACTATTAAAAATTTCTAAAAAACAAGCTAAATTAGGTTAACAACGACCACAATAATAAACAAAATTTAGTAATAAATTTAAATGATTTACAACTTCATAAAAAATTAGTAGTTTTGCAGCCACAAATAATAATGTAACTTTTTTAGACCCTTTGCTAAAGAAATTTAGAACGTCTAATTTTCTAAATCTATATTCATGCTAGAAATGTTAAACAAATGTCAAAAATATTTTCGCTCATAAACTGTATTGAATTAAGCTGAGAAACTTAATTTGTTACCTGGGTTGCATTAAATAATAATTTGCTTACCTTGTATTATACATTTAATTTATTTTAGAAATTTGACGACTAATTGAGATTATAAATTATGATTTAACTCAGGATTACATATCTATTATTGGGTTAGAGTTTTTTAATATAGTGTTTATAATAATTACCGATTTATTTTTTTTTCAAAGCACTCCGAGAAAGTTTCCAATAAAATTACAAATTGCAAACCAATCTAAGGCAATCAATCGAATCAGCAAATCCAAAAATTCAACTAGATCAAGAATGAAAAAGGATTGTGAAAATTCCTAACGAATAAAGAGATTGAGCAACAGTTAGCTATTGTCTAATAAGAAATTCAAGATTTGCACGGCAATTCTTATTGGAATTTGAATTTAACTTCTATAAAAAAAGAATTTGGAAGTAAATAATATTTTTCAATCAAGACAACTGAATTTAGAAAATATAAATTTATAAAGTGGATTAATTTAAATATTCATTGATAATGAAATTTAAGCAAGTATTTTCGAAAGACGGTGTTAGACCTGGAAATATACCGAAACCGAGCGTATAAACAAACTAAACAATTATCTCAAAGGCCTTTCCTAAGAGAAATTAAACGATTTATTATGATTCAAAGTATAATTGATTATCAAATCAAAATCTGTATGAGGGCAAAAAGAAGTTGAAAGTGCCTTTATTAAACTGTAAAGATATAGGTCCAAGATTTCTTGAAAAACTAACTCTATTGAATCAAGGTCAATTACATGTCATTTTATATAAAATTCTTAACTTTTACTAACTTCGCTTAATAAATAATATAATTATGGAATAATAATAATATACTGTAAATACAATACTAAATAATGTAAAACATCTAAATAATGAAAATAAGACATGATGATAAAAATTGTCGTGTATACTTAGCCTTGTTGATCGCAGTACTGGCGTCGATAGTCATGAAAATTACCTTACATTTTTTTTTAAAAAAGATAAAAATAAAAAAATTTAATTGTACCACACTTTATTAACGCAACTGATGATTATTATTAATGGCGGGCATGATGGATCTATTAAGTAATTTGTTGTGACTACTTCCAAATTTACAGTTTTATATACTCAAACAACTCCATTTAAATGGACTTGTATCATAAGACGTTGATAAAGCACCATAACTTATATCATTCGGCAAATTAGTTGGAATTTTTATTTTCATTAACTTATATAATTGTAGCTTTTATTAATATATAAGAATGTTAATATTTGTAAATTCCTAATTCAAACAAATATAATGAATATTAAATGATTTCACGTGAGTCAACAAATATATACCAAATTTCATATCGACAAAAAAAATTACAATTGGTAAATTGCGGTTGCTGCGCTTCTTATGGGAATTAGAATTTTCATTTATAGATGGTATAGAGCAAGAAATTTAAAAAATAAATTTGGCTAATAGAAATTGAGTCTGGTTCAGTTTAAAATTTAGAATTAATACTGGTGATATATAGCAGGGAATCTATGGCAAAAAGGATCCCTACTAATACCAGGCTGGTAGAATGACCGATATCAGGATGCTAGGCTATCCTAATTATTTTTTTTTATAAAAATTTTAAATAATTCAACACCCTTCTTGTACTTTTATATATATAATTTAAAAATTTGTTCTTTATTCTTTTGCAATATTTTTACTTTGCATTTCTAAACATTATAATTTTTAAATTTGTAATTTTGTATATTTTGTAATTATGCAGTTTTAATTAATTAGTATTATTAGTAAGTAATAGTTACTCGGAACTTCGTGCCGAGTAACTGTTGTATTTGCAAATACATGTAAAGGCACGGCAGTGCCGCAGTTATGAGGTCACGTATTGCTGAGTAACTGTTTTATCGGTTTACACAAAATAGTTTAATTTAAAAACTTTATTAGACTTTTATTATTAGCTTTATTAAACCATTTTTTCATAACAAACGATATTTCACGCGTCTTGTTTTTCCCCAAAAAATTTTTTTTTCTTTGATAATGTAAATGACACAAAATATTTCATCCAAAGGTAATCAATTACCCCTTGAACAACTATCAGCACTTGCGAAAGGCAGAGTTCCTCAAAACACAATTGTCAAGAAAGTGACGATAGTTTTAAAAAGATTATAAAAATTGCACTTTCAATAAATAAATTAGTTATTAAACTATATTAAATAATGTTATCTAATAGTAATTTACAATTTGACATAATAACAAAATAAATGATTAGTAACTAATTGTACTAGCAAAAATCATCAAATAGTAAATGACCGATAATTAGTTTTATAGGTTTAGATTGATATTGCAAAAGTGTAGAATGATAACGTTAAGACAATTCTAATTATTAAATAAATTTGGCATTACAATTACTTTATTTTTATTCAATTAAACTCTTCTGCAAACAAGGCAAACTTATTTATAAAAAATTGAATATAACAATAGTCCTCTTTTTTTAATGTTATTCAGCTTCTTGAATTAATTTAGCAATATTATTAAAAGATTTTATTATTGATTTACATCATATAATCAATAATATTTAGATACATAAATTAAAATTAATAGAGATCAAATAGGGCCCCGAGCAATATATAAATAAATAGGTAACAATAAATCGGCACACATTTACTAATAGCTCTACGCTTCTCTTCAGGGCCGGCACAATGTAATGCTGGTGTGAATTCTCCAAAAAAGGAAATGATTCACATAAATTTTGGCTCGTTCTATGCAAACCCTGTATTGTTACCTTTTCATGTATTGTTCGGGGTCCTTATCAAATATATCCAGAAGTTTATGAGACTTGGATACATATCAGTAAGTAGATTGTATTCTTACTTATACTTATGAAGTGAGATTATAATTCCAGTTGAATTCAGCATCTTCAATAATCTTCTTTGCGATACGATATCAACAATATCCAAGCATATTCATATATTGTTTTTGGTTCTTATCAACCCTTTGAAATCTTTTACTAAAGTTTTTTACAAGATTTAAGTTGTTTAGAAACACCTTTAGCTCCATAACTTAAATATTAGATTCAAGATAATATCAAAAAAAATTATTGAAAGGCTTGGGAATTTTTTTAATAAAAAGCATATTAAATGATAAACGCGAACAAAAAGGCAATATTGAAAAAAAGCAATATCGTAAAAAAATAAAAAAAAACTGATATCTGCAAATCAAAACACGTGCGCATAAATCACATGTACGAAGGTAAGATCTAATGATAATCACCGCAGTATGATGTCACCTGAGATGCAGTGCAACTAATACCGGCTTGATGATTTTCAGTTTATTCTATGCACACAAAGTATTTTCTTTACACAAAATAAAAAATCGCATATCTGTGAAATGCAAAATTCCAAATAAAGGATTATAAAGAACTTGTAAAGTTTCTTTTTTTTTTCGACGGCTACTAATTTAATTATCAAAAATATTTATTAATTTATATATTGAAATTAATTAAATTAATTTAAATCATGACGTGCAAAAAATATAAATTACTTTACATGTTTACTTTCATGTTAAGTTATTTATTCTTTAGAGTTGAGCCATTTACTCCTGAAGGACGTCTTGCTCATAATACATTCCTAGTTGGAGATAAGCTGTATTTTTTTGGCGGATATGTTGATAATGCTAAGTATTGCACAAATCAAGTGTTTTACCTCGATTTATCTCAGTCATTTAATTTAGCTGCTCCACTATGGGTTTCTCTTACGCAAAATGCTGGAATACCATTTAAAAGTTGCTGGGGAACTGCTTTATTGAATGATAAGGAACAAAGTATTTATTTATTTGGTGGATTAATGGGCAATGATCTGAAACAAGATGCTTTTGTATCAAATGTTCATTCATTCAATTTAAATTCCTTATCGTGGAATGTACCAAATATCGAAGGAATTCCACCTGAAAGACGAAGAAATATGAAAGGTGTTATTGATAATACAGGAAAAATTTACATTTTTGGTGGATATGCTGATAAACTAATAGGTTCAGAAACGATAACATATTTAAATGATATGATCATTTTAAATACAGCTGAATTATCATGGGTAATCATTCCAACTAGTCAACCTGCACAACATTCTTATACCGCAACACTATTATCTAATGGAGTTATTGTATATATTGGTGGTTTAGAGATGCGTGAAAACACTATGCGAGCAGCTGATATTACAAATATTAAGCTTTTTGATACAAAGACCTTAACTTGGTCAATAAAAGTATGTATCAATCTTATTTTATTTTATAAACAGAGTTTATCACTTAAAGAGATTAATGTATTTATAGATAGCGAAATTTTCAAATATAATTCAAAATCGTTATCGTCATTCGGCAGTTTTAGGTATAATATTGAT